GGAGCACCCCTCCTACAAAAACAGGCTGAGGGAGCTGAGCTTATTCAGTCTGGAGAAGAGAAGGCTCCGGGAAGACCTTATTGCAGACTTCTGGTACTTAAAAGGAGCCTGTAATCAGGAGCTGCTCTGCTGATGGTGCAGCTTCACCTCAAGCACTGTGTGAAAGTTTGGACGCCACAATATAAGAAGGACATCAAATTATTAGAGAGCATCCAAAGGAGGGCTGTGAAGATGAGAATGGGTCTAGAACAGAAGAAGTTTGAGGACAGGTTGAGGTCCCTTAGTTTATTCAATCCAGAGCAATGGAGTCTGAGGGAAGGCCTCACAGGAGCCTACAGCTTCCTCAGAAGGGGAGCAGGGGAGCAGATGGCAGCGCTGGTCTCTGCTCCCTGGTGACAGTGACACTACCTGACGGAATGGCACAGAGATGTGTCAGGGGAGGGTCAGGTTGGGAGAACTAGGAAAAGTTGGTCAGGCCCAAGAACAGGCTGCCCAAAAGTGGTCCTGGCACTGAGCTGCCAGTGTTCAAGAAGCATTTGGATGATGCTCTCTGACACAGGGTTTAAATTTTGGGTGGTCCCCTGTGGAGTCAGGAGTGGTGATCCTTTAAGGTCTCTTCCAACTTGTGATATAATATGATTCTATGATTTTTGCCTGCATGAAGCAATGGATACGGATCCAGATGGACACAGATCCCCAGATGGATACAGACTCATGTCAAGAACAAAAAAGGGCTGTGGCATGCAGCAAGGATGCATGGGACAGTTCTTCTTCCCAAGGGTGCCTTGTGCAATATGGATGTATCTAAGTCATTCTTAAAATGAACAGAAAGTTCAGTAGGGTGGATGCCAACACATTGATCCTACACAGTCCTTGGGATTTTCTTGTGATGAAGCATAAATTGATCCTTTAGTTCTCAGTTTTCCATTGGGAAAATGTGGAATAATAGCTCCTTAGTCACAATAATTCCATACTGGGAAAATATATTAACAGTTGGCTTATGCTCAGAAATTATGGTAACATGGATCAAAGAAAGCTATATATTGCCACATAACCACTAGAGATAAATAAATCTATAAATAAAGCCTCTAAGTACTCCTGCAATACAAATAATAAATAAAAAGCAAAAAGACTTAGTCATACATGCAGGTGGATTTCCAATTATGGAGGAAGCATTTTTACTGAAAGCAGAGTGGAGCACATTAAATGGGATGGGAGAAGAGAAAGGTAATAAATCACTGTACAAATAAATTATTCTGAAAAATGGCCATCACAGTCAAATGTATGTTCTTAAACTTCTGGAATGCAGTTTTTTCTAGTAAATTGAGTAAAAAGATTGGTAAGAAGTATATATGAGTTTCCTCCTACACACATAAAAGCCACTTTTTCCGGAAAAAAAAAAAACACCCACAAAAAAAACAAATATTGATACCCATGTAGCCTCCTCAGTCTATACAAGGATACAAGAAGTTCTTTGAGCTGTGTAGTTAATGAAGCATTTGTGGAGAACAGTTTACCATCCTGCCAAGAATTTATAGCTCCATAAATCCTCGTGCTGTATTTTACTTTGAAATAACCTCCCTGTACGCACAGGCCCCAAGATGCAGCAGCACATGTGCATGTGGAAGCTTGCCAAACTTTCCTCCAGCTGACTCTAGGAATACATGTGTGAGAAGGGAAGAATGGAAAGTAATAGAAGGCAGACTTTATGCTGTCAGATTTGGAGTCCTGATGGACAGAGAATCACTGTCTCTGCAGAGCAACGCTATGTACCTGTGTGCTCCATGGCCCAGTACAGATACACTCATCCAGGGCTTTCTTCTCTTCTTATTGCTCCCAAAAAGCAGAAAAACAGGGCTGACAGCTGCATTCCCCCCTCTTTGCTTGCTCTCCCAAGAGCTGGCTGATCCAACTGGCATTCAAACAGCCAAAAGGCTTTCTGCTTCTCCCAAACTAGGTTCTGGGATGCCTGCTGGCCCTCAGTTTTGCTATTTAGAAGAGAACGATGAGGTAGCAGAGGGGCATTTTCTTTACCCAGTGTGTTGTTCCAGTACAGCAGATGGGACTCTGCCCTTCAGCAAAGCAACCTCATCCTGTTTTTAGAGAGGAAATGATGGCTACGATAGGAACTAGCAAATACCACATAAATACAATAAAAATGTAATTTGTGAGGTTATATTAAAATCTCTTTACAGTAAGAGCACTTTGTAGGTGCAGGAACGGTGCTATCCTACAACTCTTCTGTAGCTCTAGGGCAATCTTTACACAGAGCAGCTATAGCTGTTCTCTGAAGGCAAAGCACTCCTAGCGTATATGCAGCATATGCCAGCAAAATTCAGCTTATGCCAGCAGAATTCAGCTTTTGCCAGCATAACTTGCTCCAGCTCATCCAAATGAAGCTCCAAGCTTCATTTCTCTGTGCTGGATAAAGAGCTGTTCTTGTGACATACCCGCACACACGCTTTCATCACTGTAGCTCTATCAGTTATGTCTTCATACATGGGATTGACACTGAAAGGCTGCCAAGGAAAAGTGTAGACCTAACGTTGGCTTCTAGAGCTCATGATTTCCGACGCTTACAGATTTCAATCATGGTTAATATCACAACATTTCCTGTTTCTAATAAAAGATGTGATAAATATCTAAACAATCCCCCAGTATCTGTTACACACAGATTTATTTAGATACTTTTTCAATGCAGATAAGGTTTCAATTACAGCCAACGACATTTCAAAATCACTTTAGAAATCTGCTAGGTGAACAACAGCCTGAAATGAAAGTGCTGACATGCAGCTGTCCGAAGGAAAATTCTCTAACAAACTGACATTTCATCCTATCTACATTTAAAAGTTAAGCATTTAGCTGACCATGTTTGATGCCCCGTTTTTTCCATCGAGTTTCATTTAGCACTTCATTCTTTTTAGTAGATATCACTTGAGATGACTGTATGCACATCCCGATTCCCCTAAATGCTTTCAAGCAGAAGCCACTGTTCAGAAACTCATTACATTTTATGCCTTTGCCCTCACTTTGCAGATGCAGAGGGATAGGCTGCACTACACCAGCAATCTAATTTACTACTATCAGCTTACCACCTTAAACTCAGTTTGCAGAAGGCTGTCATTATCCTCCATCTCACAAACTTCATACATGAAGTAGAAAAAAAAAATACTTTTCTGAGCCACAACAATGCCACAAATAAATAAAAAAATGCTTATTGATAAATGTCAGCAATAAAATTTCCATCTGACATTGCAGTGCTTGTAGCTAAGGAGTGACTGCTACTGATTTGTAACCAGTACTCAGGATACAATCAAGATACTAGCATGAAGAAAGTACAGACTTTTCTTTTTTCCATTGGACCAGAATAAGAAACCTTGCAAAACAAATTTAATTTGGGTACAAGAGTGATAATTAACATGCAATCCAGCACTAAGCTCTCTGGCAGCTTAGGGACAGAGGTCAGCCTGTGTTTCTATACACTTAAAATTCAATATTTCTAATTGTTTTTATCCATGCTTGCTGACTATTCTCAAAAAAACAAAGCTGCTGTAGTTCTCTGCATCATTAACGTGTCTCTGCATACATTGCCTAAATAATGAGAGACACTGCACCACAACATTAAAGTTGTTGAAAAGTTGGGAATGTGAAGAGATTTCTAAAGAAAAACACTGGAGCATTTCTTCCGGCAGAATGAAGGCAAACCCCAAATGTTGGATGATGTTTCCATAGCTATTTCAATAACGACAAGCTTCAGCTTAAAATAAAGCTCTTCTTTGTGAAAAAAGACACAATACTGGGGCAAAACACCACTGCACCAGCTGCCCCTACTAAACTAAACACAGTGTGTCAGGGAGGTGGATGGCAGCAGTGAGACCCATTTGCCTTGAGGAAGAGATAAATGGAAAGCACAGCACCAAGGGCATTTCAACAGCGGGCCAGCTAACTAATTTAGGAAATCTTTAGTTCCATGTCTGCAGCTCGCTTTTCAATCTGCCCTGTGAGATGGCTATTCCTAACTACAGATGATGGCTCAGCCTAACTACACTGCATGGTGTTTCAAGTTTCCTTCACCCGTTTTCATTCTTTACTTTCTATAGAATGCAACAGTGATGGGAAAAGTCTTTCATAAAATGATAGATCACTGAAATACTGAAACTTTCATCACTTATGCACTTACCACTTTTATGGTTACTCTCCAAAAGTCTAAGAAAGATCGACTGGAAGAACTTGAACCATCTTTTTAATCAAGTACAAGCCTTCAGTAAACTAAATGACCCAGAATGGTTACAGAGCGGAGATTCAAAGCTGAATTCCCCATACAGTTGCATCATTGTAAGTGCACAGACAGCAGTGCTCTCCCAGAAGGGGGACAGCACTGTATCCCCCAGTATCTGGGTGTACTTCCCTTCTGCTAGCTGTGTGAAGGTGAGCTGTTCCCTCACTCTGCCACTAAGGAAGAATCTCCCCAGGTATCCAACAGTCCTGCAGGTTCCAGCCCAGCCTTATGGACAGCTCAGTTATTGCTTGCCTCGTGCCACACACAATCCCTATGTTCTTCTGGACTGATTACCCTGCACATGGCAGGGGGGTTGAAACTAGATGATCATTGTGGTCCTTTCCAACCCATGCCATTCTATGATCATGGACTCACGTCCTGAGCTCGCGGAGAGGCACTGGGATGCAAAAAGCACGTCACCACTGCCTCTACGTGCAAAAAGTAGGAAAGACATTACATCCCCAACGTTAGCAACCACATTCTAAACTGTATAAAGTTTTCACACATCCCTTTTAACTCCGTCAGCACCACTTCCCTCTCTCAGCACAGCACACCCCCGAACCCCCACTGCGACGGCGCGCTGACCGCAGCCAGCGATCCCTTCCTGCCGCTCTCCCCCCACCTCCCACACCGGCGCCCCCCCGGTCCGGTCCGACCCGGCCCCGCCCGCCTCCCGGCCCGCCCCACCCCGCGGCCCGCCCCGCCCGCCCTCCGCCGTTACCTGGGCGCGGGCGCCGAGTTCGGGCGGGCGGCGTGCGCCCGTGGTCTGCAGGTTGATGGGCGCGCTCTGCGGGGGCTCGCCGCCGCCACCGCCGCCCAGCCCGCCGTTCAGATGCGCCGTCACCATCGCGATGGGCGCCTTGGCCGGCACGACGGAGATGGCCAGGCTCTGCGCGGGGCCGCCGCCGGGGCTCCCGCCGCCGCCGCCGCCGCCGCCGCCGGGTGCCTTGAGGAGCGCCGGGACGCCGCCGGGCTTGGCGCTGCCGCCGGAGCCGCCGCCCACCAGCACGGCGGCGGGGCAGCTCCGCACCGCCAGCTTCTGCGGGAGGGAAGCAGAGAGAGGAGCGTCGTCACCCCATGGCCCGCCGCGCTCCCGCCCGCAGCCTCGCCGCTGGGAGGCGGTGGGCGCCGCCGGGTCCCGGTGCGGGGATCCCGGGAGCTGCAGGGACGCTGCGGTCCTCACGCTGCCCAGCCCGTTCCTGCCCCGCTCCGGCCCGCAGCGCGGGGCTCGTGGTGCTGCGCTGTGCGTGCGAAACAGCAAAACGCGGCTTTTCAGACTCCCGGAGCACCGCTTCTCAACTCCGCCTGCCTCTCTCACCCATTGCCTCACTCCACTCGCTGAGTGCTCGTTCTTTCACCTTGCTTTTACTTGCGAGTCATGTTTTCTTACCTTTAAACTACTTTTGTTATTATTATTATTTTTTTTTCTTCTTCCTTTCAGGTCTTTCAAGCTACCTCTTCCCCAGAGCATCCATCCTAACTCTCAGTCTCGCTGTTTCTCTTCACAGCTCTGAGATCACAGCAGAGCAGCTGCCCTCACCCGTAGCACCCAGGTATGGTACCTAAGGGCTGTGTCGGAGGTCTGTGCAGCCGTGTGGAGGGGCTGCACCATACGTGTCCGTGTTTGTGCTCGATTCTGAAAAGCAAAGTCTTTATGGAGCTGTTGCACTTGGAGTGATCTCAGGAGCTGTTCTTAGGAATGCTGTTTTAGATAGGCTGGGTACAGATATAGACTGTTCCCAGCCTCATCTGATACTCAGAAGTACTAAGCATCTCATTTCTTCTAGAGTTGCAGTAAAGGTAAGTCCTGTGAAGACCTCTGCCGATGTTTGACTTTATGCACTTCACAGTGCTGTCGGTTAGAGGCTGAATCTAATGTGTGTGCAGCCTTTCAGGAGGGCTCCCCACATTTCTAGGGCTGCTGCTGTACCAGCAATGCCAGTCAGAGTTTTGTTTGTAGCCTGTTTTAAATACACTGTGTATACTGGCAGATATCAAGTCACAGACATGCTCTGTTCCTTTCAGAATGACGACTGAAAACAACACTTCTGGGAATAATGCAGAAGCCCTGTAGTTCCAAACTGACTTTTACAGAAGTTCCTGCCTCCTTGTCTTTAAACTCGTTACATGTTATAAAAGTCCAATGGTCTAATATGCTTGCTCTGGGGACTGTCAGTATGTTTATATGAAATTGCATTATTGCAGATACCTGCTTCATATTTTAATGTAAAGGAACACTGATCTTCCTTTTAATATATCAGCATTATTCTACTGATTGTGGTGGCTTCACATAAATCATTTTAAATTTTGCTTACTTTTGTTTTCATGTTTGTTTCCTCTACTACTCCACTGGTACGTGGGAAACGTTGCTTATGACAAAATTCTATAAAAGTCTTTATCTGTTTCCATGTGAGTGGTGTGTTGTTACAGGTGCAGCACTGCTGTGTGCCTCATCCCACCTACTGAGAACTTCCCTGCACAGCGCCTCATGAATCTGCAGCGCCAATGCTAAGCTCTCAGGTTAATATTTCAGTTTTGTGGTTATGTTTTTGTTGTGATTTATGTCATGTACACATCGCTAAAGGCTCACAGATGGAAGAAAAACACTGCCCTTGGTTCCAGTGATGTAAACCCATTATCTGGAAGCCAATGGAGTTAGTCTAAGAGTGCAATCCCAGCTCTGCTGTGTACCATCAGAATTTTGCTGTTGACAGCAGTGGCCCAAGATTTCTTCTTATGTGAATAGTAAAACCATTCACTGTAATTGAGAAGTTCTTGTATTACTAAAGTGTATTTTAATATTTGTCCCCAGAAATGTGAATGTTTAATTACTGAATGAGTGAAAAACTTACAACAAACGCCTGGTCATACTGCACTGAATTCATATTTTCATTTCAATAAAATTTCTACTGCATAATATCCTACAGGCATTAATACAACTTTACTACTTCTTTTTTTCTTTTTTTTTTTTCTCCCAGAAGCAGAAAACATCCAAGGAAACAAAACTCCATGATCCCAAAGGATACACAATTTGTGCTAGCTCAGTGGACAAGGCAAGTAAATAAGTATGGGGTTGGTTATCGCTTTCCTGACAGAATGTAATAGGAAAGCATCATGAGAAGTACCAAAGCAGAAATTTTGAAAGAAAAAAAGAATAATTCACTACTCGATCTACCATCCGTCCTTGTCCTGCTGTTCTCCCTACATGCATTAACTGTGAACTATTTTTGCACATCTTTGCACGTGATGTGTCAACTTTTTCCCAATAAACTGACAGAAGTGTCTATTTGTGCACAACAACAAAAAAAGTGGAGGAAATAAGGGCTTCTGCTTGTTTTAAGATCTAGCTTGAGATGAATATTAAATACTTTTAATGTTGACCATTCCAAAACCTATTTAGGTTTTGGAGCATTTTGAAGAAAATAAAGAAAATCCTGAAAGAGTTCTGTCCCTGCGATGAGCTTGAAAGGACCAATCAGTCTGTGCCAGTCACCTCCACAGGGAACCATATGATGCAGATCTTATTTAAATAACTGTACATTTTAGAAACTGCTTATGAAAGCATGGGCAACAGATCGGGTCTTCCAATTTTGTTTTCAAAAGAGTTACAGAAAGATCATCTATTTGATGAAATGCAGCTACAAAGCCTCTTCTGTATCTCATTTTAAAATCTTCTGAAAATATGCCTTCCAGAAGTTCAGAAAAGCCCCTTTTAGTCAGATTGGACAAGTAGGAGAAGAGATCTTACGCTGTTTTCTTTATAATGATCATTTTTATTCCTTGGCCCCGTTAAGGCATTGATAAAGATGCACTGGTCAACACAAAGGTTACAATATGAGAAGAAATCTTCCATACAACCCGCATTCCAAATTTAATTAATTAAAAGAATATTCTTGTGTTTTAAAGCAAGGCAAAATCTGCATTTTGAGAATCAGTTGATAGAACATATTCTCTTTCACTTTTGGAAGAATGGATAATAAGAAATGAAGCACGCTTTGCACGCTGCAGCAGCGAATGTGCTGATATAATGGGAGAGCCAAAAAAGGAAGGGGGTGGGGGGGAGATAAGGGGGAGAGAAAAAAGAAAAACTGATTGGCTCTACGTGCTGGAAATCAGGTTGCTGCTTCCCATCCACAGCACCCCAGCCCTCACAATACGCCAATTTTGAAGCCGCGCCTTTTCAATAGCAGCACAACTTTCATTTTCACCACAGGATGCCACAGGCAAACCAGAGTTTGCAATATGTATGCCAGTCACATGCAACCCCACCCCAATGTGTAAGAAGACTGTTGCTTGTTTATGACTTTCCATCTTGGACGTGAAATGGTCTCAACTATTTGAAGCAGAGCTAATTTTTTTCCCCAGTTGTACCAACATAGTCCTGGCCCTCCTTTCCCAAGTCCTGGCCCACTTTTCCCACACAGGCATGCACATGAGAAGTAAGAATCTGCTCACGTTCCTCAATGGGGAATGCCCTGCTTTTGGCTGCTCCTCCCCATAGCAGGGATTTTAACCCAGGCACGTGCCTCCTAACAGCCCCTCATGTTTTCATAGCAGAATACGAGATGCTCAGAAAGGTCCTAAAACACACTGTCCATCATGTTTATACTTTAACACCCATGCTGGAGATAGAGACTTCAGTCCATTAATCTCTCTAGAATGATGCTCTCCTGACAAAGTGGTTTTGCTGTGAAAAATTGCACTTGTTTTCAAAGCAATATGGGGCCTTCTTAGCAGCCTTGTGGTTGAGAGAAAACCCTTAGCACAACCCTGACAGTTTACTCTGCTTGCAAAAGAGCAGCACTCCACTTCCAAACTGAAATTATGGCTTCTCAATTAGTAATTTAGCACTGGTCACTAATGTAAAACCCTGCATGCCAAACGGCTGAGCAGACTCCTCTGGCCACGTGGGCCATGACCTCTGTTAATTTACTCCTTTGTCACATCAACAGTCACTTGAACAATGGGATATTTAATATTCCAGGAGTGACAACACAGAAAGGCTCTATGGCCATCAGCCATAGCACTTTGGTATCGTATCTTAGGATTTTGGTTTACTAAACATATCCAGGCTGCTACTTACTGGTGCTGGCTGATCTGAGGATTTACCAACTACCCAGCCTTCAGCACCAAGGCAGAAAGATATGGGGCCGAGCATGCAGGTGGACATATATATGGGTACTGAAAGGAGTCTGGTGGGTGTTAATGGAGGAGAAGGGCCTTGTGGGGTGTGCTTTATCCCAAGGCTCCCCTCAGAAATGCTCCTTTTTGCATACAGCCCTGAGTGAGAGACTGCCTGTCCCAAGGGGAGGACATTGAGGTGTGTTTCCCTGAAACCAAGGATGGAGACACAGGCAGGGAAAAGTTTTAGGCACTATTCCTGAAATGCAGTTTTCCTGTCTAGGAATGTGCAGGTGTTGCAACTGGGGGTGGGCAGGGAGGAAGAAGAAGAGGAGGAAGAGGAGAAGGAGGAGGAGGAGGAGAAAGAGGAGGTGAATGAGGAGGAGGAAGCGGAGAAGGAGAAGGAGGAGAGGGAGAAGGAGAAGAAGGAGAAGATGGTGGAGTAGTTCCTGTTGCCAGTTCTACTTCCCATCAGGACCCAACTCTGGTTTAAGTCAGACAGAGCATAAACACGGCAAGGAGGTTTGCATTTGCTGAACTTAAATCACTGCATTATTTTTTTTAGGCTGCTTTATCTGTTGGTTTATTCTCCTTTTTCTTTCTTTCCTTTCCTTTCCTTTCCTTTTTTTTTTTTTTTTTTTTTTTTTTTGACAACTTACTGCCTGCCTGTCATTAGAAGTAAGAACGTGTTCATTTTTCTCTATCAGATCACAGTTAATTAGCCATTGCTGCAGCAGGCTCAAGGATTTAAATTCAAAGTGAAACTCATTCTAATCAAAACTGCAGCAAACTGGGGGTTTTGTTTGACTTTTGTTTGAAAGTCGGTTATTGTACCGCTGATGCACATCCCATGTTACCAGCTGAGTGCTTTCAGCATCCCTCTATCAGTGTGAAATATTTAATCGGCACAAGGATCCA